ACTAAACATTAGATCTGTTACGAAAAAAGAACTAAACAAAATGAACACAAAACGATCAGCTTTAAAAAAGACTCATAACTGGAAAAGCCGAAAGAAAAAAGGATGTTAACAACAAATACTTTTTCACACCCAACCCAGCTCTGTGGAATCAGAATCAACATTGTGTTTAAGCAAGCGAATGAGCTAATTGGAGTAAAGTGCCATGCAGATTTAAATTTTTCACACTTGTGAAGAATGCAGTTATCAATTTTTGCATGTTATCATGCTAGTTAACATTTATGTCAGTCAGCTGTCACACTGGCCAATAGAATCTTCCTGCCTATTCGTGGCAGCCAGATATAGGCTCTCACTCTGGCCAGTACAAAATGGCCGCAAACTACATGAAAACTGCTCTAGAAGCATGAAAAAATCGATTATTTCCACTATCGATGGAAGTTGGGAAATGCAGCATCAGTCTTTGCATTTCCGCTAACTTGGAGCATGTGCATGTAAATTTTGGTGCAAATCCGTTGAAAATTGCAGCTGTGCATTCATTACACACACACACACATCCTGCCTTTTATAGATAGAGATATATTAGTATATGTTTATTTATATAACAAACTGAACACATTGAGGTTCATTATGCATTCTTTTTATTTAGATCTGATATAGCTTCCAGATCATTCAGATGAAGATCCAAATACAAATTACCTAACACACAAAATATTCACAAGATATTCAGAAACTGCAGACCTGGATGTAGTAGAACACTTGCACAAATTTTGAAGTTGACATGTTTATAGCAGTAATTAGCTTTTATACTAAGATGTTGAAAATAATTAAAGAAAATGTGCCTGTCAGGGGTGGTTCATCTTATGGTGTCTATGAGCACAGAACACTCACTAGGATAAAGACAAACATACATACCAATACAAGAAATGATGAACATGTAATATCTACTTGACCAGCAAAAACAAATAAATAGAAAACAAAAGAGTGAAACATCTCTGCACTGTTCTATTCTACATAATTCTAATGAAGCTAAATAAATATTGAAAAATCTCAAATTTATAATGGTTTTACTACTTTTTAATTTAATTATATATATATATATATATATATATATATATATATATATATATATATATTAAGAAATGGACGAGGTCGACAATTTATTTATTAAAGACATTTTATTTATATTTAACGTTGTTATTTTTTATAGATACAAGTATTTAAAAATGCTCTATTTATGATAAACAGTATTAAATGGCGGCCTGAATGTATAGGATTTTCATAGAAAATATTCGTTCAAGACGTATATGAACGCAGGTTTTTATAGGATGCGGCCGGTAAATGTCTATTAACGAATGTTTATCATAAACAGAATTTGCTTAAATACTTGTATCTATAAAAAATAACAACGTTAAACATAAATAAAAATGTTTTTAATAAATATATATATATATATAAAACCTTTCTCCATATATAATAATAATGGACTCTCCCGGTGGTTTTGATGTATGGCAATCTGACAACTTAACCAATTGATTCAGTTATGAAATTTTGTGCAATAATCTTAAGTGGCAGTTTAGACCCACTAGTGATTTACAAAGAAGGCTGCATATGGAGCAAGAGTGAGGATTGTGGGATGAGATCACTGTTAGATTGGCTGACCTTTTAGATTTTGCTCTCACTTCTTAGGATTTCATCAAACTAGGTTTGTTTATCTTACACATGCACATGAATGAGAGATGCTGGGAATTTTAAATTTAAAAAAAAAATCTTTTTTAATGTATTTTGGCTAGCCAATTTCATTTAGAATTTTTTTCTAAATTTAAAATTCCCAGCATCTCATTGTTGTATATACATAGTTTCATTAATGTAAACAAACTTAGTCCGATGAAGTTCTAAGGTGCAAAGCACATCACACAAAAACTTTTTCCAGTTTGTCATACATCTTTCCACCAAAATTATTCTTGGTATATAAAAATTTACATATTGATATTGCATATATATATATATATATATATATATATATATATAAAATATACATATATATATATAAATATATATATATAATATGTGGCCTCCTTTGTAAATCACTAGTGGGTCTTAAATGCCACTTAAGATTAGCAGAAAAGTCAGAGGGAAGCCACATCATGTCTGTGAGAAAATGACTGGAGTTGAAGTGTCAAGAGATGAAGAGAAGACATGAGACAATGGAGATGTTCATCTAGTGAGAATATCATGGATGGGACATGTGTTCAAAAAGGAAGTTTTAAGGAAAATGGGAGCAAAAAGGAAAGACGGTTTAAACTCACAGAACATATTGAGGGCAAGAGGGAAACAATGGTTAACATACCTAACAAGCTTGTGTAAAGAGATGATAGAACATGGAATGGCAGTGATAGTAAGAGAGCAAACATTGCTTACAGCTACAAAGGATAGGAAGTTGTGGAGAACCATGACCATCGACATGCTGAAGTGACATAACACATAGAAAAAGAAAATCCTATTATTATGATTATTCATTCTCTTTTAGTTTATTATGGTGTAGGGAAGCTGAAGCTGATTATCTCCCTTTGGGTAAGATGAAGTCATTATAGTCATAGAACAACTGATGAGTGACACCAGCTTGTGTGGCAATGAAAACCAGTTGGTATGTAGACCATGAAGAAGATGGAAGCCATGCCTAAGTGGTAGGGTGAACAGAGGAAACAATATGATCTGACTAAGGACCCCATCTGCCTGGCCATTTTCCATTATGAGAAAAATTACAAGTAAGACCATCTAAATTTTCCTGTTCATCCTGCTTGTTGCTTTCATATGTGATATAGCTTCTCTGTGTGGGCCAAATATTGAAAGGTACATACATATCTATATATAGTTTCTTGTATGACACAGTGGTATATAAAATCTCTTTGCAAACAATGCATGTTTGTCATTCCTTTCTTTCAGCCATCCAGACCCTTCCATTGTATTCATGTGTTGGTATATCATAGATATACTAATGCCTATTTTTGTTACCTAGAAAAGGTTACTGAATGAGGAATAACCAAAATGGAGATTGGAAATGAAATGCTAATTATTATAACATCAAGAAAATACAATACTCACCAACGGCATGAATAGGTAAACCACTGCTAGTGGTGAACTACTTAGATAGCATATTAGCCCACTTACAATAGTGTCCAACATATTTATGAGGATTCAGACATACCGATTAGCTTTTATAGGTACAGTCTATAACACATATATAACAGCAAGAAAAGATAATGACATAATCAAGATGTTGACATTCCAGACTACTTCAAGCAAAAGGTCAGGAAGGAAACCCTCATCAATATAAGAAAAAGTAAACTTATTCTATAAAACCACATCCCTTGTGGACTTTATAGGTACAGTATATAACACATATATAACAGCAAGAAAAGATAATGACATAATCAAGATGTTGACATTCCAGACTACTTCAAGCAAAAGGTCAGGAAGGAAACCCTCATCAATATAAGAAAAAGTAAACTTATTCTATAAAACCACATCCCTTGTGGACTTTCAACAACCACAAATAAAAGGGATAGTATATTGTTGTAACCTAGGAAGGGTTACTGAATGAGGAATAACCAAAACGCAGGTTGGAAATGAAATGGTAATCTTTATAACATCAACAAAATACAATACTCGCCAGCAGCATGAATAGGTAAACCACTGCTAATGGTGGACTACTTAGCATATTACCTCCACTTACAATAGTGTCCAACATAGTTATGAGTATTGGGACATACCCATTAGTGTTCATAGGTATGTTATATATGTAGCCTATAAAATTTGCTACAAAACCAAAATATTAACCTGAAACTTCAAGCTATGTTCTTAAATAGCCTAGTCAAATCAAGACTTTAATATGGATGCCGCATATGTCACCAAACCCATTCAGAAATATATAAACTGTCTGCTTTTTCAGATTATTGGTTCAAATTGGCTTTAGTTGGGTGAAGCTTGTGGATTGGCACCAGAGAATCACAAAGAGCTACTAAATAGTAGAAACCACATCATTTGAGAATTTTTAACATCAGCAATAGGAAAATGGATAACCCATGTAAATCAAAGAGAAAATAATGATATAATCAAAGATCTGACATTCCACGTGACTTCAAACAAAAGTTTAGGAAGAAAACCATCAATACTGGAAAGAACAATAACAATGACCTTGAGACACTTATTTTCCTGAAAAATTGCATTAAGAGAAAGATTTTATAACTTTTAGTTGAAAGCAATACTGGCTGTTCCTTCAATGAATGCCAAATTTTTCCATATAAGGAAACAACTAATATTATCATTGCTAATGCCTATAATTGGGAAATGGTAATATTCACTCTTTTCTAGAACCCTCATTAATCGTTACTGTTAAACCCACCTTGGTTATTTCATTAATATTTACTCAATTTTTAAACTTCTGAAAAAGCAGGAAACATTATTCTTTCTTCACTGCAATGAAATAGAAAATATCTTAAAGCATTTATCTGAAGTTGTCTAACATTGACAACCTTCATGCAACATCTGCTAATCACGGGAAACTTGAGAACTTCTTGATGTCATATTTTTCACTCATTCTCCGCACATGACTATAAGTGTATTTGTACAATTCCATTACCATTTTAATATGGGATATTGGAAAAATCTCAAGGCCAACTTCAGAATGAAGTCTGTATATAACTTTGCCAACTACTACTTGAGACTAATAATAGCAATTTTTATATTTCTGGATCCTTTCTTCTTCTGCCACTTGCCAAATTTGCCAGCACCAAAATTCAACCTTCTATCTGACTGATCCTAAATTTGGATTCAATATCGAATTTAAATGATGACCTTTATAGATTTAATTTTAAGTGTACATTTTGTCTCAGCGGTAAGTGGATTTGAACACAAAAATGAATGATTACGTTATTATTATTTTTGCTATTTTATTTTTTAATTTGTAATATGTTAAAATTGTGGGTTTGATAAGCTGAGAGAAATCAGAAGTAAGGTAGCAAAGAAAATAAGTGTAAAAGAATTGGAAGCCTAAAGAAACAGGAAGAAGAGATTAAGAAAGATGAAATGGAAAGAAAGGAAGGTGGTGAGAAAAAATGAGAGGAACAATGATTATTATGTATAAAAGATAAATGAAAGAATGTGTCAAAAGAAGAGAGAGAGGGTACAAAACAAGGTTTTAAAAAGAGTGTAGGGGGAAGAAAAGAAAGGGGGTGAAAAATACTGAGTAGAGTAAGAAGAGAAAGAGGATGTAAAACAAAGATTGAAAACAGTGTAAAAAGGAAAAAAAAAGGGGTTGCAATACAAAGACTTGAAAAGAGTTGAGACTAAAGAGGAAAAGGATTGTAAAAAAGAGTAAAAGAAAGAAAAGAAGGCACAAAACAAGGACTTAAAAAGTGTTTGGGAAAGAAAAGAAAAAGAGTAAAAAGTAAGGGCTGAGAAATAGTGTAGAAAGAAAGAAAGAAAGAAAGAAAGAAAGAAAGAAAGAAAAGGGAGTAAAAAGTATGAACTGAAAAGAGTGTAGAAAGAAAAAAAGAAAGAAAGAAAGAAGGAAAGAAAGAAAGAAAAAGAAATGAAAGTAGGTAAAAAGTAAAAAGAGTGTAGAAAGAAAAGGGAGTAAAAAGTATGGACTGAAAAGAGTGCAGAAATAAAGAAACAAAGAAAGAAAAAGAAAAAGAAAGAAAAGGGAGTAAAAAGTAAGGACTGAAAAAGAGTGTAGAAAGAAAGAAAGAAAGAAAGAAAGAAAGAAAGAAAGAAAGAAAGAAAGAAAGAAAAGGGAGTAAAAAGTATGAACTGAAAAGAGTGTAGAAAGAAAGAAAGAAAGAAAGAAAGAAAGAAAGAAAGAAAGAAAGAAAGAAAAATGGAAGTAGGTAAAAAGTATGGACTGAAAAAGAGTGTAGAAAGAAAGAAAGAAAAGGGAGTAAAAAGTATGGACTGAAAAGAGTGCAGAAATAAAGAAACAAAGAAAGAAACAAACAAACCAACAAAAGGGAGTAAAAAGTAAGTACAGAAAAAGAGTATAGAAAATAAAGACTGAAAAAGAAAGAGTGTAGTTAGAATAAGAGAAGAAGGTGCAAAGAAAGAGTGAAAAAGGGTGTAGAAAGAGAAAGAGAGCACAAAAGAAGGACTGAAAAAGAAACTGTGAGTGAAAAATTTCAAGGAAAACAAAGAAGAAATAAATAAAAACTAAAATTAAGTGAAATTGAAATAAAGAAATTGAAAAGAAGGAAGTCAAGGAATGAGAGTCGAAATGTCTTAAGGTAAAGAAAACAAAATTTAAAGAGAAGAGGAAAATAAAGATTAAAAAAGGTAAAATTTAAAAGAATGAAAAAATTAGGATTTAAAGAAAGATAAGTGCAACAAAAATGCAGAAAACTAAGGAAAATTAAAGTTTTTAAAAATAAATAAAAACAAACGAAATTAAATAAGAACCTATGAAGTGAAAGTGCAAAGAAAAATGAAATTAAAAAGAATGAACACAAAAAGAAAATTTAAAACAGAAAATAAAAATTGACACAGCATTATATATGACTGACAATCACCTCCTGTATCTAAGAAATGTTTTCATGGAAAAGAAATAAAAAAAAGTACAATAAATTTATGAAAAGCAAAAAATATTCACAATAAACTGTAACCCAAGAACAAGGTTCAGAAGGGAAGAATTTTTATTGCTAAAAAATGGAAATATTGATTGATTGAAAACTAGAAAAAAATCCTGGAAAAATGAATTTTGATTGAAGAGAGCTCTTACTTTGTATAAAATTTTTAATTTTTTTAAAAACATATTTATAATTTATTCTTTCAGATGTTTCCAAAGAACATAATGTCTTATTTAGGGTTTCCATCTGATGTCTCTAATAATGATATTCTTGTTTTAAAGGAAATATAGCAACATTAAAATTATTTGGTCAAATCTATTAGATAATATAGAATCTAAATCAGAGAAACAGAACAAAGCAACTTTATATATATATATATATATATATATATATATATATATGGGGAAAACGTTGTAATTGTTGCAACGAGAGAAAATGTATATTAAAAAAAAGAGAGAAACCAAAAATGTTTTTGGTTATAATGTGGATTTGTTTTAGTGTATATATTATATTTTATTCTTCATATTTTTGCTACACGTGTTTCCTCTTCAAGCAAATTAAAGTGAACACTTCAAGCAAATTAAACGAATCAATTTTTAAAGGAATAAAATTTCCTTATGTTCTTTTAATATTTCAGTGTTCATTTTCTGTATTTGTAGTAAGCCTTGATCTCATTCTTCAACTTTTGGCAAAATATAGATAGATAGATAGAGAGAGAGAGAGAGAGAGAGAGAGAGAGAGAGAGAGAGAGAGAGATGGATGTATAGATAGATGGATGGAGATATATGTGGGTACTGACAAAGATTCACTAAAAAATGAACATACATGCTAAAACAGTTTTATTGTCAAAATTGTTGTTATTCTTAAGAGGAAAAATCAAAGGATTTTTATGTAAAAATAATATTTTTTTAATCCTTTTTAGAACCTTTGATATTTTAGTTAAAAAACTTGTTTCTCCAGTGTACACACTACCATAAATTATTCTAAGAAATTTTAGTGTCTTTTTGCAGTGCAATATATACTGAATTGGAAATTCTTTCAAAATTCAGATAATTATCAGAATTTTAATGAAACTTTCAGAATTTATTCACAAATGGATAAAATTATTTTTTAAATGTTTCCTTTTAGTAAATATCTGTAAAAATATTTTTTTTAAATCTGTTAACCAACACTTATTTAATTTTATGAAATTCCAATAAATTCTTTTTTTGTAGCTCTTAATATTTATATTAGTTATAAGAAAAAAATCTTAGGAGAATTTAAATCTTGAAATTTTTTTTGTTTCAAAAGGATACCCAGTTACAGAAAAATTTTTCTGAATCATAAAATAAAAAAAGCAATAAAACTAGGAAGTTACTTAAATTAGAAAAGCTTTTAATTGCTTTTATGTATAAAATATATTACGAACAATATTGCCTTAAGAAAAAACATTCTTTTTGATGAATAATAAATTTTGAAAGAATTGTTTTCATTTTTGTTTAAATTTTAATAAAAATAATTTATTAATCTTTAAATTTTTTTAAATTTAGATTAATTTGTTGTAGTTAAGTGATATTACTATTAAATTAAGACTGTATTTATTTACTAACCATAAATTGAAAAGATCACTACGATTTAATGAACATCAATATTTTAAAAAGAATTTTGAATTTATTTTATGTGTATAAACATATTGATTTTCATAAATACAGAAGTTCACACATGATATTATCAGAAAATAAGAGTGATAGTAAAGTTAAAATTTATTGGTAATTTTCTAACATTTTCCCAACAAGCATCTTTGTAAGTAAGCCTATAAAACCAAAATATCTAAAATTCAATAAAACATAACAGAATGCTTAAAATATTTAAAATTTTTAAAATTACTTGGTAGTTAAAAAATTATTGAAAAAAAGTTTTCATGTTGTATTCATCATATAATTTTGGTACAATTATTTTCCCTTACATAGATTTTGCAAATATCAGGTTATCAATAGATGTGTCAATACCTCATAAAAACACCCACCTCTGTGTTAAATACATGCTTTTCTATGATATCTTAAAGTAAAAGTAATATTTGTTTTAATTCAGATGACTTTAAAACAACTAATCTTCCTGAAATACATTTTCAGAAAAGTATATTTTATTCTGGGAATATTTTTTAATAAAATGAATTATGTTGTGCTGATAGATTTGTCTATATGAATGATTTTAGTGATAATCAAAAGAAAAAGAAAGAAATTCAATAAATTGCTTATTGGAAAAAATTAATTTAATCTATTACCATAAAATTAAAACTAAAATAAAACTTCAAGAAAGCTATTTAGAATGCATTTTAAACCTTGAGTGTTACTTTTTTGTGGAGGTATATATATATATATATATATATATATATATATATATAAATATTCATTTAAAAATATGATTCCATCACTACATAAGAGTTCTCATGTTTCAAAACAAGAGTCGAAAACTTCAATATAATTATTTGAATTAAATTGAAACATGAGAACTCTTATGTGGCGATGGAATCATATTTTTAAATAAATAATTATATTTAGGCTCTACTTTTCTATCGAGCACTGTTTTTTAAAAATAATGACAAAAATACTAAAGAACTTATTACTTACCTAACGAGTTCTTTCCTATTTTCTATATATTTTCATATATATTCTATATTTCCTTTCTTTCTTTCCTATTTTCTATATATTTTCATATATTATATATATGTGTATGTGTGTGTGTGGTATATATATATATATATATATATATATATATATATATATATATATATATATCACATAAATTTTCAAACCCAGTATTTACTAGCTTTCAGTTAATACTGTAACTTTCACACTAGGCTGCATCATCTGATGCTGAAATCTGATGGCCAAGTATCTTACGAAACTGACAGTAAAGCCTGTATTTACATACCAGGATTTTAAATGTTTTTAAAGGTGATTTTAAAAACAGCCTATATCACACTTTACATATATACATACACACACACATTATATGTATATGATAAAATATAGTTTTAAGGTATGCTATATTTCTAGGTTAAAGTGCTCAATATCCAAGATAAAGTGTATGTATATAAAAGTGGACATTGAAATCAACACCCACAGGCAACAGTCTGTTTCATGCTTGATGCAATCATCAGGCCAGTGGAGCAAAAACACAACTCACATGAACTGACAAGTACATTTAGCATGAAACAGATTGTCGCCTCTGGGTGTTGACGTCAATGTCCACATTTATAAGCTTACCCCCAAGATTCGTTTAAGGTTAAACCTAGGTAGGTTTTCCTGACTCTTTAGGATTTATTTTATTTATTCCCCTGTCCACAAATCCATAAACCTTTTGTTTACTTAGGGATAACCTCATTCTGGTCTACATTAAAGCTGCATATATATGATGAATGAAAGAAAGAAAGAAAAAATAGAAGAGGCAATAGTAGCCTTGTGCATTTATTGTCCATTTCAAAGAAATGGTATAGCAGTAAGAAATATGCCAGACCAAAAGAATTAGTTCCAGTAACCAAACTTAGCAAAAACACTGGAATTTCCATGGTTCCACAAAACATAGTTAAAAGAAATAAATGCCATGAAAAGCTCATTTGAAAAATGTTGAGGTATTAAAACACTGCTTTCATTATCTACTTTATATAAATAACCTGTTGAAAATTTACATTAGAAGTGAAAAGATGATGAACTTGCAAGGTCACTTCAAGGTCACTGTTGTATAAGATTTTTGTTTTGCATTTTGACAACCATTTTTTTTAAATCACCAAACTTTGAAAATGAAGAACTTTGTTATATCAGAACATGAACATTTCAGATCCAAATTCATCCAATTTATTACACTAATATGCTGTTATTATTGCATTTTCTTACAATATCTCAAACACTCCTTTTGATTAGAAAATATTTTATTTTATTATTTTACAGTAAGATTCACCCTATACAAGGCCCAGGGACCAGCCAAAGTAGAGTGTTACCTTAAGGAGTAATTTATATGTATTATGTATATAAGGGGAAGATAAAGGTTAACTGTAGATTTGAACAGGTTAGGAATGTAGTGATTGGGAAAACATTCTGTTGAGAGTCTATTCCATAGAGCAATGGTTTTCAAGAAGAAGCTGTTTGAGTGGGAATTTTTGCAGATGGAATACAGAGGGAGTCTGGTTAGTTTGCTCTAATGTAATTAACATGGCAGGTCCTAGATGTGAAGGTCAGACCTGGCAGAAACAAAGAACCAGAACCAATATAGTTTGTCTGAAAACTTTCCATAGAAGTAGCACTAGAGCAGTGAGAGACTTGACACATCCTGCCTGTGAGAGAGTGACTGGAGGGTGATAAATAATTCTTCTCCAACAAAGGATTCAGAGATGCTTTTGAACTCTGTCAAGATTTATTGACAATGAACAGTTTTTCAGTTAACAATCAATAAATTTGCATTGCAGGATTTTTCAAGATTCAAGTTAGCAAGAGTATATATCAATCTTGGTTGTTATACTTGGCTGCTATATTCTCAGGCCTTCTTCAGGTGTCTGCATACTCAGAATCCCTTGAAACTTTGAATAAACCCTTTATTCAATTCATATTGAGAGATTGTTTTATTTCTGCTTTCCATGCTTAGGGGAGATAACTTGTGTCACTTAGTAATCATATATAGAGGGGAAAGGATGGCCATCAGCACTTGTTGAATTGTTATGGATTCCGAGATGAAATTCGGTCTCCAATGACTGACAAACGCAGGAACTAAATATAACAAATATATGTATTTAAACAATAATACAATGGATAATACTGTTAGTAAATCCAGGAACATGGTTAGTAGCAATAATATATATATATATATATATATATATAATCTCAAAGTAGGATTTCATTAGAGTCTACATGCTTGTAACTGTGACTTCTACAAGTGGTTACCTCACACTATTACTCTACCTCCAACTCAATCACAATCTCTGCTCACTCTCACTCTGTATATATTCTGACTGACTCTGGGTATTTAATGGCAGCAGTCCAAGTAACACTCTGGTCGAGTCCACTTATATGAAAAAGGGAGGACCCCATAACAGGAATGAAGCCATGACAACAGAGAACAACACTGGAAGATAAACTGTGGAGTGAGTAGCCATGATCAAATGCAAAATAAGAACTGCCCAACAAACAGAATTTATAGAGTTTGCTATAAGCAATAATAATAAAATGAAAGGAAAAGACATGGCAAAAAAATAATATAAAGCAAGCAAACAATATATGCAAGGTAAATTAACAGCAATAAGACAAAGCAACAGTAATATGGCAAAAAGTTCACAAACTAAGAATTGAGGTTGACACATAAAAGCAAGTCTGGACAAGCGAACACGCATTCTGTCTTCAAGACAAGACAGACCAGGACTGAGTCAGATGAAACCAAGAATGGTCCTATTTTACTGGCTAGGAAAACATCCCAGGATGCATTTGTGTGCTTCTGCCTATAAATTTGGGAGGAAGAAGTGTTTTACAGTCATTCCTAATAAGTCTGTTTGTGAGGGTAGGGTAACAGTTTTCACAGATTGCACAGGTACTTCCATCTGAACCTAAGCAGAATTGCCATCCATATATAACATCCAATCAATTTTGATGTTTTTTATGATACAAAGTTGAAACAAAATCTCAGCATTGGCTTTTGAAAGTCTATTGGCCACCAAATTTGAATTAGAACTTTACTATGTAAAAGACAAAGAGTAATTACTACTGTGGAGTGAGTAGCCATGCTCAAATGTAAAATAAATAATAGAATTGTCCAACAAACAAAATTGACAAAGTTTGCAACAAGCAAAAAAAAAAAAAGG